TTTCCTCCCCTCTCCTTCCCCTCCCCTCCCCTTCCTCTCCCTCCTCTCCTTTTATTTCTTCTCTTCTCTCCTTTCCTTTTCCTCTCCCTCCCTCCTTCCTTCCCTTCTTCCCTCATTTCCTCCTTCTCTCCTTCCTTCCCATGCCCATTCTCTCTTTTGGCAGGACCTCATGTAGCCTGGGCTGATCTCAGACTCATTATGTAGCCAAGGATGGCCTAGAAATTCTGCTCCTCCTGCATCCACCTCTGGGATTTTAAGATTACTAGCATGCGTCATCACATCTGGCTTAGTTTTAAACTGAAAATGCTTTGTGTATTTATCATGAATACCATAATGTTTGATACACGTGTCCATTGTATACTGGCTAGTTGAAGTGAATTAGCACTTTACACACTCAGTTTCTTTTGTGGTAAGAACATGTGGAATAGAGCACACATTGCCTCTGGTCTTCTTGTAACGACCATGACCAAGGGTAGTCACAAGAAAAGTATCAGATGACTATTAAAAATGGGAGTCCCAGAAAATACTTGCCTGTAATTTTCAAAACTGCCAATGTTATCAAAGACAAGAGAAACTTTGATAGCCATGAGAGGACTAAATGCAACATGAGATCTTAGAAGGGGTCCTGGAGTAGATAAAGGCCATTAGATAACAACTAAGGAACTCTGGATACATTTTAGAGATGAGTTAAGAGGATGTGTTGATATTTATTCACTCATTCTTGGTGAGAAACTTTCTATACTGAAGTTGGATGTTAGCAATAGAGAGGCTTGCACTGGGGACACAGAAATGATTTTCAACATCTGGTTTTTTTGTAAATGAACCTAAAGTTATCTTAAAAATATTGGAGGTGAGGGAGATCTGAGAAGAATTAGGGAAGGAAAAAGAGTATGACAAAATATATTATATGAAAATATTTAATAAAAATTAAAAAAATATGAAAATCATTGAATGCAGAGACTCATGGCTGCTCAAGATGCTGAGAATAATGATGATTATGAGCCAAGACATGAAGAAGACATTTATACCACCCCATCTAAGACCTAGGGAACACTACCCAAAGTAGATGGAAAGTGTACAAGTCAGAAGGCAGGGTGAGGGTTACTAAATGTAATTCTCTAGACTAGACAGAACCATCACAATTTTTAAACATATAACAACTGTAATTGCCTGCACTGGGCCCACACAAGAACATTCCTGACAACAACATGTCAAGGAAGAAGAGGAGTTTGGGGATACAGGAATAATCAAGGAATTCTACCCTCTATGATGGAACTAATGGTTATTTATAGACTCTTGGAGAGGGAGAATCATTGTATTTAGTGGTGTACCTACTGATGATCCCATCAAGCTCCAGAAGATAGCTCTAAACCCTTACTAATAGGAATGGCCCTGCTAATCTTAGTAGGTCACGAAACAAACTAAATAGAAGTGGGGGAAAGAGTGGTCAGTATGAATTGTGTATATGTATGAAATTATCTACTAACAAATGTAATTAACAACAACAACAGCAGCAACAACGAAACAAAAACAACAATTAAGGTCTGCTAAAATTAGGACACAATACCTAGCAGAAGACCAGAAAGATGGCTCCTTACCTGTCACCACCAGGCCCAGAGGTTTACTCTGCTCTGACCAGTGGTTCTTCTTCATGTACCGACATTGATAACATCCTGCTAGTGTTGTGTTCATGTGGTTGATAATGAATTCCGCCTCTTTCTGAAATCCTAATTTCTTCTCTATAACCGTGTATGTGGAGTTTTTCATCAGGGACAACTGATACAGGTAGGCTTCAGGTGTTCCTCTGCACAGGATCCTCACAGACCCATTCCAGGGGACCATAGGATCAGCTGCTGTGGATAAGGTAGGAATGGGAAATTCTGAAAGAAAAGAGAGCCTAGACTCAGATGGCTTGCAGAAGCCATTTAATTCTTTGTTGGGGGACATGAGTTAAAGTGCAAAGGGTCTATAACCATTTCATTTTACGATAGTGCTTTGGATGTCTGGACTGGTATCTTTTTTTAAAATTTTTTAAATTCTTTATTAATTACACTTTATTTACCTTGTATCCCCCCTGTGGTTCCCTTCCTCCTCCCGTCCCAATCCCTCCTTTCCTGCATGCCTCTCCCCAAGTCCACTGATAGGGGAGGTCTTCTTTTCCTTCCTTCTGATCCTAGTCAATTAGGTCTCATCAGGAGTGGCTGCATTGTCGTCTTCTGTGGCCTGGTAATGCTGCTTCCTAAAGTGCTTGACTTGCAACAGTTAGGATCTGGTTTTGCCACCACCCCCCAGAACCCACATAAATAACCAGGAGTGATGGAGTGCACTTTTAACCCCATTGTAGAGGCAGAGGCAAGCAGATTCCTGGGCTTGCTGGCCACTCAGGCTAGCCTAGTCAGTGAGCTCCAGGCCAGTGAGAGACCCCGCTTCAATGAACATCAGTGAATGCAGAGACTCAAGTAGCCTGTGGTGCTGAGAATTTGTGAAGGCTGAATGTATAGCCCTAAAAAGGACATTTTACCACCTCTTCTAAGGTCTGTGGAAAGAAAGTAAGAGATGAAGATAGGGAGAAGAGCTGTGAAATGTGATTCTCTGAGGATGACATAGCCAAGGCAAATATTGTGCTAGCAATGTGCCTGCACAAGACTGGGCTCACCAATAACCAGTGATCGAGGGGAGGCTTCACCATCCTTGCTGAATTATTGATTGCTGGTGGATTCTGAGGAAGGGTTAGGCATTATCTTTAGCTGTGTACTCATAGTGAGTCCACCAGGATCCAGTGGCTACCTTCAAACCCATGGTTACACAGGAGGCCCTGCTTAAACTCAGCAGCTCACAAAAAAAGGGAAGAGCATGTGAAAGAGTCTTCTAGAAAAGGGGAGGGTAGAAGGTGTGGGAGGGAGATAAGAGAAGCTGTGGGGTGTAGGCAATAAGAATTCACTGTATGAAAGTATGAACTTGTCAACAAACAAATTTAATTAGAGATTAAAAAAACCCCAACAACGTGGACATCATTTGAAGGCAAACAACAACATGGGTGTCCCATACGTACTGTGTGCACACACAAACACACACATATTGTGCTCACCTGCACATACACAAATACCCTTTTGAAGAAAATGGTTGTTTTGGGGTACCTTAATATAAGGTACCTTAATATATATTATTACATATATATACCTTAATATATATATAATATATAAAATATACACACATGTATAGATAGAGGGGGGATGAGTTCTGTGGAACAGAGCCGAGCAACCTGGAGCTGGAAATGGGCACATCCTGGTGCAGAATCCAGGACCCCACAGGGAGCCAGAGCATGTTAGTTCTCTTCTGGCCTTCCACATCACTGTTGGTTAGCCTTGAGCGAGTGATTTTTGCGTCTTGAAGCCATCATTTTCAGTTTTTTAAATCATTCTATGGAATAGGCAAGGGGGCACTGAAAACCCTCAGGTTCCCTTCATCAAGACATATCTGTTCCGTGGAAGCAGCTCAGTTGGTAGAACATTTCTTATCACATAGGAAGTCCTGGTTTTGATCCTTAGTATCACAAAGCCAAAAAAAAAAAAAAAAAAAAATCCAAGTGCTGTATGCTCACTGTCATGTTGATACGTAAAAAGTTAATTTTAAAATACCTTTTCAATTTCAAACATGCATATACTATTTCTGGCCATTTTCCCCACACCTCCTTCATCCGCTTTTCTATGACTGAAACCACTCTTCTCAAGAAGCCCCTTCTATGTCTGTTTGTCTGACCAAGGCTTCCGTTTATTAGAAATTTTTACCCAACTTATATAGGGAGAAGGCAGGAAAGGGGGAAGGTTAATCTACTGCTGCAGGAAATAGGAAGAGTGCTTTCATGGGTTAAACATTGTACCTGCAAGATACCATAAGGATGTTCTCTTAAGATATCTTAAGATGCTCTAACAAAGGATGCCCTCACAATCTATCACCCATGATTTAGGGTCTAGTTAACTCTTTCACTACATAGCTTTAGGTCTCCACTAAATGACCTTTGCTCTCTACTTGGCTTTGGCTTCAGTAACTACCTTTGTCTCCACTAGATAGCTTTGACTTTGGCTTCCGTAGATAGCCTTGGCTCACTAATTGACTTTGGCTTCCGTAGATACCTTTGTCTTCACTAGATAGCTTTGGCTTTGGCTTCCGTAGATAGCTTTGGCTCCCAGAAGGGAAGTGTGAGGGAGTGGGGACAGGTGGAGGTTGAAACTGGGCACATTTAGATAAATGCTAGTTCTCTTTTGCATAATCTAATAAATGTTTGATGAACAGACAAGTGAGAGGAGTTTGTAATACTAGGGTAAAAGGCAAGGGCAGGTATCAAAAGTTGTCCTCTGGCTCCTGCGTGCATGCTGTGGTAGTTCCATATATGGAGATAGAAATGTTAATTAGCCTGGCTTGATTTGTATACATGATGTGAATACATTGACGTGTTACATCACATTGTGCCCTGCAAATTTGTGCAGTTAAAATCCCAAGTACACAGGTATGGCTCTGATCAACAGTGTAAAGTCACAGAAAAGGGGATCAGGTGGCTGATTGGAGATTCAGAAAAGGAGGTGGAAGAACTGTGAATGCGGTGTGCACTGAGAGAGAAGGGGCCATCACAGGAAAGGCTGAGCCTTGATAAAGGGAAAAAGTGAAAGATGAGCTCAGTGAAGGTATGCGTGGCTGAAGCAGCGATGAGACAGACACTGGTGGAATAGTTACAAACCAGGAAGACAAAGGCGGGAAGTAGCTTAGAACATTGCAGGACTCACCTACGACAGGTCTGAGGAGCTGTAAGAAGGAGATACCTTAACATACACCTTAAGCATACAGATACCTCAGGCTCTTGCCTGCAGAAGGATGCTGAAGAGAAAAGACATGGATAGATGAGGGGTTCACATGTGCTAGAGGACAAAATAGGAGTTAGAGTGACAGGACGTGCACAGCTTAACACAATTACTGCTCCCTTTAGTTTACGTTGGTGCTTTCCTCGTACTTCTGAGGGCTCAACACTGTGGTACAATACATGAGTATACAACATGGCTGGCTTAGGCTGACTTCCTTTAAACAGGTGAAGTAAATAAACTTGGTTTTGGAGAAAAGAGGAATTAACACTCAAAAGGATGTTAGACAAACTCATGATTTCCTCTTACAAATATTCAGTACAGTTTTTTTTCCCTTAGACATGCAGTTATCAGAGGCTAAGGCTGTAGCTCCAGAAGGTTCTAGGGTCTCCAGAGTGAGGTAACACAGTGAAGAAATCAGAAGACACTAGAAGAGGAAATTTCCTGGGCTTCAGACACTATTTCCATTGCTCTATTCCAGAGCTGCTGTGAGCAGTATCTAATGTGGGGCAAAGGATGGAACTTGGGGGACACTTACCTTCTTGTGCCCAAATTGTCTGGCCCAGGCAGACCACTGGAAAAGAACCATTGGTGAAAATTTAACTCTCTAGTATCCAACCTCTGGTACACATCCCCCTGCACAATTAGATATAGAGTAAATCTATCTATGAATCTATGTTTCTGTGTATGCCTGTATGTCTATATGAATGTATGTATGTATGTATCTGTGTATTTGTTTATCATCTATCTACCACCTATTATCTGTAGTAATTTTTAATCATCTATCATCCATTACTTGTCTATTATGTATGTATGTACATATGTGTGCATGTAACATATCTCTGTCTACCCATACAGCTATTATCTGTTAATTGATCATTTTTTATCTATTATCTTCAATCTATCAATCTATCTGCCAGTCAGTTTCAATCATCTATTTATTACCTATCTTTCTTCTATAAATCATCTATTTTTGTTCATCTGTGTATCATTTCTCATTTCTGTTATCTAGCTTTAGCTTTCACGTATTTGTCTGTAGATAAAAAAATATTTTTTTCCAAAATAACCACAGCCTTGAGGGTCATCCTTAAAATTTCAGTCATTTAGTCTCCCTCTCTCAAAGCCCAGCACTCACAAAGAAACCCTAATAGTATATCATGGGTTAAATAGGGGCAATCAAGCCCCACAGCTCAGATTCTAACAGAGACACTGTTATTGCTATCTTAGCAGAATGTCAAGGAGATTAGAGTATTCTTGGCAGCAACTAAAATAATCTAGTCTTCGTGTTAAGAGAGGATTCAGCTTTTGTGAGAGCCCTGTCTTCGTTGCTAACCCACTTTCATTTCAGTACTCACCGAGACACAGGAAGGTGATGTCCTGTGGGGTCATGATGCTGATATGGCTTCAGCCCAGTCAGCTTCCTGTCTGTGTGCAGTAAATGAGACAGTAGGACCAACAGGATGTGTGAGGTGTGAGATCCTGACCATAGGATTTCTACATCTTTTGCTATATAGGCAAAAGGAAGTTTCTTCTTGAAATAGTTCTCAGTTGTTCTTGGATGGATTCTTAGAAGAGACCAAGAATCCATTTGTTTATATTTCACATATGAAAGGGAGGTTTTCCGCAAAGAATTTCTAGTGATGCTCACATTCCTGTCTCTCTTTTTCTTTTTTTATTAACTTAGTCTCTCATATATTACATCCAGACTGCAGTTTTCCCTTCCTCTGCCCTCCATCTTATTCATCGCCCCCACCTCATTCTTTCCCATCCATACTTCCTGTTTCCCTTCAGACAAGGACAGGTCTCCCAGGAATATCAACCAAACATGACATATCAAGTTTCAATAAGATTAGGTACTTCTCTCATATTAAGGCTGGACAAGGTAACCCAGTAGAAGAAGAAGGATCACAAAAGCAGGCAAGTGTTTTAGAAACATCCACCCCCGCTGCCTATGTTGGGAGTCCCACAAAAACACCAAGCTACACAACTGTAACATGTGTGCAGTGGGCCTCTATCAGTACCATGCAGGATTCTTGTTTTTCAGTTTAGTCTCTGTGAGCCCCTGAGTATAAGTTTGTTGTTTCCGTAGGTTTTATTGTGGTATCCTTGAAACTTCTGGAGCCTAAATTCCTTCCTCTCTACCCACAGGATTCTACAAAACTCTACTGAAGTTTGGCTATGTTCCTCTGCATCTGTTTTCATCAGTTGCTGGGTGAAGCCTCCCTGATAACAACTGGGATAGCCACTAATCTATGAATATAGCAGGATATCATTAGTAATCATTTCATTGCCTTTTTTTTTTGTCAGTTCTGTTTGGTTATAGTCTAGGTCTCTGAGCCATCCAGCTCTGGTTTCTGGTCCTCTAGTCAGTGTCAGGGTGGTTTCGCTCTCTCACAAAATAGGTCTCAAGCCACACCAGTCACTGGTTACCCACTCCCAAAATTTCTGTGTTATCTTTACCCCAGAACATTATGCTGGCAGGACAAAGCATCGGTTATGGGTTTTGTGGCTGGGTTGGTGTCTCAAACCCTCCACTGGAAATCTTGATGGTTGCAGGATATGGGCTGTTCAGGCTCTCTATCCCCCATTACTAGGAATCTTAGCTAGGGTCAGCCTAATAGATTCTTGAGAGTTTCCATTTACTGGTTTCTAACTTGTCCCCTAATTGCCCTCCAGTTCCAGTTGTCTCTCCTGGTACCCTCTTTCTCCATCCTCTCCCCACAATATCCCTATGTTTCTATCCTCACCTGCCCCAAGTCCTACTCACAGTGTTTGCTATTTCCCCTTCCCAGCGATTCATGCTTCCTCACTGAGCACTTCTCATTACTTAGCCTTTCAGGTTCTGTGGATTGTAGCATGATAATCGTTCCCCCTCTCTCTTTTAATGTTAAATTTACTTTTACTTTTTTCCTGGAACGGTTTATTATGCAGTTCAATTTATCCAAGAACTCACATATGAGGTACATGCTGGAATCAAACTAAGTTCCTTTTTTCTACCTGTCAAATGCTGAGAATGCAGCGTGCGCTACCACACTTATTTTTATTTCTGTTTTTTTAGTTATCATTTATTACAATTTATTCAATTTGTATTCTGGCTGTGTCCTCCTCCCTTATCTCCTCCTAATCTCACCCCCTCCCTCTTCTCCCCCTATGCCCCTTCTCTAGTCCACTGATAGGGGAGGTCCTCCTCCCCTTCTATTTGACCCTAGCCTATCAGGTCTCATCAGGACTGGTTGCATTGTCTTCCTCTGTGGCCTGGCAAGGCTGTACTCACCCCCACCCCCAGGGGGAGGTGATCAGAGAGCCTGTCTCTGAGTTCATGCCAGAGAAAGTCCCTGCTCCCCTTATTAGGGAACCCACTTTGGAGACTGAATCTATGGGCTACATCTGAGCAGGGGTTCCAGATCCTCTCCATGAATTCTCCTTGGTTAGGATATCATTCTTCAGGGCCTCCAGGCCTCAGTCTTTTGGGGGGGCTCTGTTGGAGCTACTGTCCCCTCCAGGACCCTACATCTCCTAGCTCTTTCACAAGATTACCTGCACTTTGTCCAAAGTTTGGCCATGAGTTCCAGCCTCTTCCTTGATACCTCAATCAGTAGAATCTTTCAGAGGCCATCCATGGTAGGCTCCTGTCCTGTTCCCTGGCTTCTCCAACTTCCAGTGTCCATTGCATTTGTCCTTCTGAATGAAGACTGAGCATCTCACCAGGGTCTTTCTTGTTTAGCTTCTTTAGGTGTACAGATTTTAGTAGGTTTATACATGGCTAATATCCACTTATGAGTGAGTATGTACCATGTGTGTCTTTCTGCTTCTCTGTTACTTCACTCAGGATGATCTTTTCTAGTTCCCACCATCTGACTGCAAGTTTCATGATTTCCTTGTTTTTAATAGCTGAGTAGTATTCCGTTGTGTAAATGTACCACAATTTCTGTATCCATTCCTCTGTCGAGGGACATCTAGGTTGTTTATTTCTGTTTTTAAAGGAAGAAGGGTTTATTTTACTAATAGTTCCACCATCGTTGGTGAGTTATAGAGTCAGTCATTTGAGATAGAGCATTGGTCACATTATATCACAATTAAAAAGAAGATATCAAGGTTTGCATGCTTGTACTCAGAATTCTTCACTATTAAACAGTTCAGGATGTTCTAGGGATTGTGTCACTCCATAAATAGACAGACAGATGGACAGACAGAGATGAATCTCAAAGTCCAGGCATGAAAATGCTAAAGAGAATATATGGGGTAGTATAATAGTTGGTTTGATGTCAAGTTGACACAAGTTGAAAGTGGGACTCTCGACTGAGAAAAAGCATCCACATGATTAGCCTACAGGCAAGTCTGTTGGGTATTTTCTTGATTCGTGATTGATGTAGGAAGGCCTAACCTGCTGTGAGTGGTGACACTCTGAGGCAGGTCATCCTATGTTGTATAAGAAAGAAGACTGAGCAAGTCATGAGCAGGCAATCCAACATGTGGTGAACCTCATGATGTCTGTTTCAGTTCTGCCTCTAAGTTCCTGCTTTGGCTTCCCTGTGACCTGTGATATGTAAGATATGTAAACCAATGTAACCCTTCTCCCCAAAGTGGCTTTGGACATGGGGTTTTAGCACAGCAATAGAAACCATATCAAATATTTGTAGTGTGTGCATAGATTGTGTGAGTCTTTCTGGGGAGATGTAAGCAAACATCTGTTGATCCCAGATAAGGCAGCAACAACACATCAAATGCATGATCCTGCCAGCTCTATTGCACTGAACTAATGAGTTTATTGGGATTAATTACAGAATAATAGATTATTGGACAATTACTGCTTCATGGATAAATAAAAGGTGGCTACACCCACAAAGCCCACACTACCATGGGCTGCTGTATGAGCTGTGGGGCGGCTTGGTAATTGGAGAGTCTCTTCTCCTCAGCTATTGTTATCACTCATGTAACCTTTGGAAGGGCCCTTGTCAATATTCTATGTTTCAGGATCTTCCTGAGACTTGTGAGCTTTAGTTTAATTCCTGAATTTTAGTGAGTTCTCTTCCAAAGGCAGTGTTTCAATTCAGAGGAACTAACTTTTCAACAACATAGTAATGGAAGATACCTTACCTCATCACATGTTAGAAAAATGTTTCTCCATACAGAAGTCTACATGAAATGTTAAATAGGTCTGCAGGAGTGAAATTAAATAGATACCCATGAATTAAGCAATAGAGTTTGATTTCTGTTCAGAGGGCAGTATAGACCTTTGTAAGTAAAGGAAAGCCACATTCAGAACCATACTGGAATAATGAAGGATGGCCCTAAAGTTAAAAACCTCTGTCTTCTGGCGGTTGTTTCACTGCATCTATCAGTCCTTGCTGGACAAAGGGATATGGTGTCCATGAAGGACTTCCTACGATCTTTTTTTGATAACTCCTTGGGTACAGGCAATCATTGATCTCAGATTATCATTTCATGACTTCCATGTATACACTGGTATCTGTGGAGAATTCTTAGGCCTCTAGAAAGTGGGTGTGATCAATTATTGATTGAAGAGTCTCTGATCAATTGTTTTGTATGTCACCTGCATGTCTTCTTTTTCAGAGCCCTAGAAAGAGGTAAATGTTAAGTGATGTTGGGTACACTTATTTTCATAGAGTTTAAAGGAAATGTAGAATATATGAAAAAGGGTGGGCTCAGGAGGACCTACATGTCTGTTCAGTATTATTTTCACTTCAGGCTCTTAGTTCATGATGGCTGACTTTTTGGGAGACAGAAATAGTGAAAACACTTAAGAAACCACTTCTGGACTCTTGTTTCAAATCCAGCACATTTGTAAGATATATGGTAAAAACCAAAGATTTCTTACCAGCAACAAAGCTTAGCCAGATGTTCTGCCTCTGTCTGTCCAGCCCCATCCCATCATGTCCCACTCTACTAATTCTCTCTTCAACTCTCTCACACAACTCTCTCTCTCTTCCCTCTCTGTATCTAATGAAAGCTTCTCCTAGATATTAGCATAATCTTTGTAATGAAAAAGTGCAGAAGATGCAGTGAGGAATTAGCCTGTGGTCTGAGAGCTAAGGGAAAGAACAAGGGATCTGGTGACCTTTCTAGAAAGCTGAGCTTCAATGTCCCTGTTTTGAGTCAAGTATCCTTTTATAAGTGAAGAACACTGACCTATCATCTTCCAGTCTTGGTTCCTCACTCTAGTCAGATGATACTTACTGGCTTCTTCCTAAGGTTGTTTTTCTTTTTCTCTTTTTGGCAGAGTACCAACAACAGTGAAGAAAGAAGACAAGCATCATGGTCACTGAAAGCTCACTCAGAATAATCAGGGGCCTATGATTATCTGGAGGAAGATGTGAAAGCAACAAGAGGTAAATCTTAGGATTCCAGTTATGATAGATTACCTCGTG